ACAAAATATTTTAATTTTAGATGTCTACTAAAACTAAACATTACAACCGTTTTAACACCATCGACATTTTTTATGTAACATTAAATTTAAAACGAAAATTTTAAAAAGTTTTTCGTTTTTAATTTTGTAATAGAATATTAACAAATTATTGCACTAAGTAAATGCTTTTTTAGCGAAAAATTAATTTTTCAACTCGACTTGCCAAGTTTGAGACAAAATACCAACATTTTTTATCATCATTTCAGATTTCCAGGAAAAATATTATATAACTTTCAATCCTGTAAACCACCCAAATAAATAAATCGTGTAACGGCAGACAATTTTTGTGTCAGTAAAAAAGTAATTTCGGTGCATCTGAAAAAAAAAAAAAATTGAAACGTAGTAAGTACTAGAAAAACCACAACACGTGTTCTTCTGACTCATTTTTAAATCCTTCTATGAATAAACATTGGCTTTCCGAAGAGATTTTGATATTTATTTTCATTACGTATTTTTTATTAATTAATTAATACCTTAATTATAACTAAAAGACAAAGAAAAAAAAAAGAATCCTTATTCCTTAAGCAATAGAGACAAGAAATATAATCACGACAGACAGATGTGTCATCAATCTGTTAAACTTTTTTTTTGCGCAAGATGAATGCGTTTTTCAGTTTGTCCCAAAACAAAGTTTAAAGATTTTTTTTACGTGAGGTCTAGTAACAGGTTTAAAAATACTTTTTAAAACACGAGAAACTTTTTAAAAATGATTAATTGCTACTACATACTAACAAAAAAGGGTATTTTAACGATAAATTACCGTTTAAAAAAGTTAAATTTTCATAATTAAAAAAAAAAAAAAAAGAAAGAAAAAATATCAAACATTTTAATTTTAAAACTGTTTTAAAATTAAATTATTAAATTAAACTAATAGTAAGCATTAAAAATTGTGAAGTTACTTGTAATGTAATTTTAGTAGAAAGGGCGAGTAATTTTTAGTCGCAAGAAAAGCCAATGTGCTCCACAATTTAGCCTTATGCCAGACAAGGAAAAGCCACGTATTACTTTTTTAATAAGATTTTTTGCTTCTTACCTAGACTTTCTCTATTTTATTTTTTAAACTCAACATCGATTCAGGATCTAGCCGGTAGATAACACAATCATCACACACTTAACTTTTCAGTCGTTTAAAAACTAATTTACAGATTTTATTTTGAATATCACTTTTTTTACAATAAAAACATCAAATTAAATTTCAATTTACGTCATTGCTTGTGGGAAGAATATTTTTAAATTTTGTATTATTTGAATTTGATATTTTTAATTTAAAAGCATCATTCCAAGTCGCTCTTTGCGCTTTTTCCCCCCTTTCGGACCTTTTAAAATTAAAAAGGAAGAAAACAAATGAAGTTGTCAGTGAAACTAGTGAGAGACTAAAAAATGAGTTCATTCGACAAGACAAGTGGTTGGAAATTAGCGATAATTTTTCATTTCAATTTTTTGGCTTAAAAAAAAAAAAAAAAAAAAAAAAAAAATTATATATATATATATATATATATATATATATATAATTATTTATTTAAAAAATATGATTCCAAATCGCTACATAAGAGGTCTCATGTTTCAAAACAAGAGCCGAAAACTTCAATATAATCCTTTAAATTAAATTGAGTTGAAATTAAAAAGGGCTCCGTTCCATCTTCAAGCCAAATTTTTGTTAAAAATCTAGGATAGTCTCGTTGCAGCAACCAAGTAAATAAAAAAGTCAAATGTATCCAAAATCACTGATCTTGAATAAGTGATCTTAGATCACCCGTTTATTTTAGATTTTAATTTTGACAGGTTACAAAACAATGTTTGAGTTTGGGGGCTAACAACATTTTGGTAAAGCGAAAATCTTACGATATTAGGTTCCCCACAAACAAAATTAAAAAAATTATCAACACGGAAGGAGAAAAAAAAAAAAAAAAAAAAAAAAAACAGGTGTTGGACATCTGACGATTGCGTAAAATGCCCTCCCACCCCTCACCAACACATGTTCTTTTAAAAATCTAATCTACAAAGGAAAACCTTACTGCTACTTTAAGTAATTAGACACAAACAAAACAAAAGTAATTTAAAACTTGTAAAAAGCAAATTTAATAAATTCAATTGTAGAAGCCAAGCATAAAATACCGAAATTTAATTGCTGACATATAAAGCGAAGAAAAATTTTATCCACCAGTGGTTTAAAAAAAATATAACATTTTTATTGACTTGGACGAATTTATTTCACAAGAAGACTGTAAATTTTTTTATCACAACCTTAAACATCAAATATTGTAATGTACAGCAAATTCTTTTTTAAGGATACTGCTTTTGTTATATATTTTTACCCAAACAGAATTTAAATATGATGAAAGAGGAGGAAGTTAGCATAAAAACTAAAAAAACACTTCTAACTAGAAAAAATGCAATTTCAGAATGAGACAATTTCTACATTTTATAAACCAATTTGTTACTAAAAATAATAATACGGAATGGCATTATTAAAAATTTCATTTTTTTGATTTGAATTTTTTTTCACTGTTTAAGTGTTACGATGTGAATTTAATATTCACGGTTTAGTGCATTTGAAGTTGAAAAATATGTGCAGTTATAAGTTCATTTTATTTTTCATTATTACGTTTCGGATGTATGTGATCCACACAGTGGAAGCGCACATGGGTCAATCATCAAGTCCATAACTGAACAAAGTTTCACTTAATGTCCGGTATGTTATTAATATTCACGACTGAATAAAATGCCTATTTTGTTTTCCTATTATAAAAGTTGCAGATGAGACAGTGATAAACCGAAATGTAACTTATATTTTAAACGGATACACGTGTTTGAGTAGACGCACTGTTATTTAAATTAATAACAAACATCTATATCTCTATCGAGCTGTGCATTCGAGAATCTTAAAGAAAATATACGCAGGAACAATAGGCCGCTGAAAAGTTTTCGGCCCGATCAACTTTACAAAATTCAAATGTTTTTTGGAAATTTCATAGTAAGACCGGGAACTCCCCCCCCCCGCTCCAGCCTAAAAAAAATAAACAAAAACAAATCAACAAATTCCATAGCCTGATAGAAAAAAGTTTATCAAGTTCGATCTGTTATTAATTGCTGAATTAAGTGCATTGACAAACAATATCATGTGGAAAAATAAATTTTTGCGTAAAGTCATTTTTTATTAAATTATTAGGCTATGAACTTATCGATGTGTATGTTGTTCGTTGCCCCAGGAGATGATTTCAATTCTTTTTTTTTTGTAAAAAGTTTCTCAGACAGTCAGCCAGAGATTTTTTTTTTAACATTTATTTAACCGAACAGGATTGATTTCTTTTTCAAGTAAATAAAAAAAAAAAAAAAAATGAAATTTTCTTAAGGCGCCAGCTGTACTTAGATTTTTTTCTTCTTCGTCAATGGTGAACAAGTGCCCCGGTTTAATTTATTTCAAATAACAAATATTATATTTCCTTTTCTTTTAAAAGTCATTTTTTTTTTTATGTTTTAGTTTTTTACTTTTTCAAATTTAATTCATGGCTGTCAAAAAAAAAAAAAAAAAAAAAAAAAAAAGGAACCCCCAAAACCGTAATGACAAACAAAAAAAAGTTTAACTAGTGACTACTGAGTGTAACATGTATTGCGTTATACAATTTTTATTACTTTTTGGGGGGTGGGGGGAGTTGTCAGAGGCATGTGTCTGACCCCTCATTTTATGCCCAGCCATGGGGCTTAAGGATTTCTCTGAAAAGTTGGATTTTGCGGGAGAAAAAACATTTTTCTTTTTTTTTTTTTTAAATTAATTTTAAATTTTCAATTCTCAGGGGTTATTTTTTTAATTACGTTTTAAAAGATTTTACAAATAAATAGAATTTTATATAAGTTTTTAATTACTTTACTTCTTAATTCGCCATTCTTTCAAAACCAGACTTTATGAAGAGGAAAGCAATCCATTGTTCACTTAACTTTTGAAAAAGAAAGTGTAATAATCTGCATATTAAGAAATATTTTTCAACTTAAATTAACTTTAGGGTATTTGATCACAAATAAGTCTACCTAAGGGTATAAAAAAAATTAGATTAAATAAAAAAAAAAAAAAGGTCATTAACCTGGGGGGGGGGGCATTTTTTTCTTTTCCATTCTAAAAATAAGTCTTAAAAAGTGTAGAAGAAAAGCTAAGTTTCACCATTTACTTTTTTCGATTTACTCTTAATAAAATAGAATAAAAACCTACAAATCTTTACGTTTATCCCAAAATATGAAACCCAAAGAAACAAACAAATAACTTTCTAGAGGATTTCACATTAGTTTTATCGACCTAACGAAGAAAACAAACAATTCCCATTTTCAGAACTTGAAAAGGAGAAAAAGACTTTTTCTTTTTAAGAAACACAAGTAAAAGAGAAACAATTTACACACTCAGTCATGGCCAAAATATCCATATACTCACTTGATTTCTTCTTAGCATTCAGGTATTTTTTAGCAACTACAAGGCCGAGTACAATTAAACCGCCGGCCAAAACAGCGGCAAGTACAAGTCGTCCTTGATGTGCGGGAGAAGCCGCCGAAGCCGCCATCTTTATCGTCTGCTTTTGACTATTTCGTTTTTCTTTGCCGTAAAGTGACTGTCGTAAAACTAAAATCAAGACCTTTAAAAATCATAAACCAAAGGAAAATAAATAAAAAGAATACATATAAAACAAACCACTTGTTTTATTTTTATATCAATCCTATAATATAAATAACTAAGTATATGTTATTAATTTATATATTAAAATAGTTTCCCGATTAAGACATTGAATCACGTCTTTTGTTTTTCAAACTGGTTTACGGTAGGGTAAGCATTTTGTGGACTTTTAAATCCGAAAATGGAAGGTCACGGCCGGTATACAAGTCAAATTCTATTATAACAGTAATAATATTATTTATTTTTAAAATTACAAAAAATTCTAAAGTGCTAATTTAAGAAGAAAACAATCTCGGCTCTAGCCATGCCTTTTATGAAAGGTCGTGCACCGGTTCGCCGGACAATCGAGTATCTAGAAAAAGGAGCCCTCGTGTTTAAAAAGAACATCCAAGTCATGACCATTCATTATAACACAAATCATCAGCCCAGTAACGGTGCCTAGTAAGTAAAACATATAGAGACATAATTTTTTTAATTGAATTTCATTTGCTTGCTTTTATTTATAATCCAAGTACACGTATTTAAAATAAACAAACAAGAAAAAAATCAATTATTTTTCATCGTTGCTAGTAAAGATGACATCATATGATAAACACCACTTTCCATTTTTGTTTATTTATTGAAATAATTTAGTATTTGGTCTCCACACAAGAAGCTAAATATTGTTGAGTTTACCGCTCTAAACAATTTTCGCATACCAAACATTGAATTACCTCCCTTACAATTTCCCCTACTCTTCTTTAACTTGTCTCATATCGAAACATAACTTGTTAAGCTGAAGCACTAGTATCAGGTTATTAAATTTTGGGTATTGTTAAATTTTTTGCGTTTCAAATGATTTTTACTTCATAAACCTTAATTTATCTCCATTTTCTTATAATTTGATTCATGTTCTGATCCCCACATTAGATTTTGAAAAGTTATGCATGAAACGAAAAATAAAATAAATTACCGTCTGAAATGCAATACTAATTTATTTAAACTATATAAAATAAAAATCGAAATTTAAAATAATATTTTGTGGCCAATTTGTCTTGGGACGTCAGAGACCAAAAAAAAAGACAACCCAAATTGAGTAAGAAGAAGAATTTAAAAAAAAAAAAAAACGAAAATATTACTAATTACTTTTAAAACTTTTTTTACCTTTCGTAACTAACATAATAATAATAGATTAAAAAGAAATCTCCAAGAAATATGAAAGAAAGGTATTTCAATTTATATGGGAGGATATTTTCAGCCAATAAGTCCGTAGAACAAGGGGGGAAAATGTCATTGTTTTGATTTCCAGGTATGTTTTCCCGCCACACATTTCTTTATGAAATGGACATAATTCTTGGTTCTACATCGCTTTTTTTTCTTCTTTTTTTTTTTTTAACTTGGTTCTGTGAAAAAGACAAAGACATAAACATCGAAAACAACAGAAAAAGGAATTATACAATTTTTATAATAAAAATTCAAATATTGTTAAAAATTAATATTTTCTATTTTAAAAAATGCCCTCTTTTTCTATGAAGTTTATTTTACATTTTATATTTTTACTAAAGACGACCTTTGACTTATTAGAGAGAAGTTTCTAAAAACTGACTCTTAAAAAAAATGAAGAGGGAGTCCGATTCCAAAACCGAACCGAAATTTTGTGCCCGTCTCTATGGAAGCCTTAAAAGAAAAAAAAAAAACATGTTATATCGACTCAAGACCCAAAGTCTTGATTTGTAACAATTAAAAAAAAAAACAAAAAAAAACTACCTTTTTTGGATTCCGTTCTTTCAAATTATGACCTAACGAAAAAGATCCCTTAAAAAAAGAAAAACGGACACATCGTAAAAAAAATGATCCAGTTCACTTACTATTCCCTCGCCTCCTCCTAATTAAAAAAAAAAATATTGCTTTTTCATTCAAAGCACTTTACATATATTTTCCTACAAAAATACATTTTTTTTAGTTTATTTTTGGTAGGTTGCGAGTAAGATTTGTTTTTAGTTGAAGTAATAGACGAAAACTAAAAGTGAAAAAGTATTGTAATTTGTTTTTTGCTTGAATACAATGACTGACAACATTCATTCCTTTCCTGGAAATATTTTCCCTATAAAGTTGGGGTCAAGTCCGATTTTCCAGGTACGTCGGTTGTTGGAAACTCCTAAAGCCCGACCGGAAAGGGATTTAAAAGAAAAAAAAAGGGAAAAGCGCGCACATGCACACTCTATTTTTAGAAGTACTTCAGGCCGATAACTTTCCAAACTGGGGCCAGATTTTCGTTTATCTTTATAAAACAAAATGTGTATAAATTAATTTTAAGTATGGAAACTTAAAATTAAAAAGAAAAAAAAATTAAGATTAAATCTGTCCCACTTGAAAATAGTAAGTTATGGTTTAGGATTTTAAATTGAAACAATGTAAAAAAAAAAAAAATCCAGAAGTAAAATAAAAATTATAAAATGAAAGTAGACTTCTCACTTAAGTGACTTTTGATTAGAAAAGTAAACGGTAATAAAAGCGTGGTTTCTTTCTTTCTTTCTTTCTTTCCCTTTTCTTCTCTTTGTTCTTCTCTTCCCTCTCAGATATGAATACAAATAATATTAAAAAATAAAAATAGAAAACTTGGTTTTTTATGAGAAAAAAATTTGTTTTTTATTATAGAAAGAATATGATCCAATTGAAAGCTGCTATTAATTATTATTACTATTGCCTACAATATGGTTGCAGGGTTAAGATGTTATTGAAAAAGAAAAGTTTGCAAAAATTCTGAAAACCTATCAAAGATGCCCAATTTTCCTCCGTATTTTGTTGTTAATGGCCGAGTGACCTAGTCACAGCAAATGTGATAATTTTGGGGTGCAAAACTATGTGACTGCCAAGAAAATTGTTGCCTTACAACTTTTTCTGGGTCATCTATCCAAATATTTTTACTTGGCTCTCTACTCAGTGCACTCCAAATAGCATTTAACCCAAAAATACTACTGTGTGCAGCAGACTAACATGTACCATCGACACCATTTCTATTCTGTCTTTTTGACAACCTTATTCCAGTTTGGTAGACATGCTGTCAAATTCAGTAACTTTTTTTCTTTTTATGAAACCCAAAAATATATATTACTGAAGTTGAGGATAAATTTGCATTTATATCACTCTGTTCTAACTACGATTTTTTTTTTTTTTTTTTTTTTTTTTTAATCATTTCACCCCAAGCAAGGCATTAATGCAAATAAGACACCAGGGGTTACACTGAGAGCAAGAGAAAATGAGAAGACCTTAGTAAGGAGAAAGTTTATGGTTTATTTTGTTTTACAGCATATCAACACCAATGGGTCATTTCATGCAGGGATGATTTTTAGGATAGGTTTCATATGAATAGAATATGTATTAATTTTTTTTTTTTTTTTTTTTTTTTCAAAAGTGTATTGCTGGTACTTTTACTATAAAAATCTATTTTTATACTTTCATAGTGTTTTGACTCCAGTTTCTGGTGTTAACTATTTGCCCATAGCTGGGATTCTAATAGGTGCTACCACCCTCTAAGGAGAAAGGACAATAAAAGAACAGCATTCAGGTAGACGAAAAATGATGACTGACATTGACTTTAAATTTTTGAAGGCAACATCAATTGCCATTTTTCTGTTGCAAATTTTGAAAACTGTTTAACGAGTCACATCTTGATATTATCAAGAATAATGTAAATTATAGTTATAGTTATTTACTAAACATTTCTTAGTTTGGCTCAAGGCCACAAATCTGTTGCACCTGGTAATGTTCTCACTCACTATGCAGAAGTAATCAACCTCAAGCCCAGCTTGCTAACCATGAGACTGCTATTAAGTACCCAAGATGATGGAAATATTGTCTAAAAGAACTGGACTGCAGGCTTTCTGAAATTCTTGCTCCCTTTGTCTCAGAAAATGCAGCCTTCAGTCTTCATATTTTCTATTAATCATTTCATCCCAGGTAAGGTAATAAAGCCACTAAGACACATGGGGGTTACAGAATGTTAGAGAATATGTGAAAAATACTATTAAGGAGAGAATAATAAAAGGACAGGAAAACAGAATATAATGATTGACATTGCATTTAAATGTTTGAAGATCAAATTTGACTGGGAAGCAAGAATCCAGAAATGAATTCTACAAGTGAGAAGTACAATAGAAGAAACTGTTAGCATAGAACTTATGGTTACATCTAGCCATTTCAACTGTAAAATAATGAGACCTTACTGCCAATGTAGTACTGCACTTAAATTCATAGAGTCTGTGTACTGTAGATGAAAGTTCATCAGAACAATTAGCATGAAAGTATTTATAGGAAGACATGAGGAAGCTACATTAGTGGGAAAGAGACTGAAGCCAAGATGACATGTCAGGACCAATAACATTGCAGATTCTTCTTTAGAATTTTATCAAGGATACCTAAATATATAGCAGGAGCACTAGACCATATGTTTTAAACACAAAAATTGCTTTTGTTTTTCATTTGAAATTTATTTTTCTTACTTTGAAACCTACTGGAAACTAATTTGGACTATGCACACTTAGTTACACCTTACAGTCATTTTCCCATAGACGCAATGTTCAGATGAGCACTCTATTTTTTCATTCCATTTTTATCACATGATCCTGTCATGCCATTAAAAGCCACTTATTGGCATAAACATCTTTTTAATGGAACAATAGGATTACCTCTCTTTAATTAAATGGTGAAGTGGTAATTGTAATATTAGCTTTCTTATTAGCAAACAATTGGCATGTATTGACCTAGCATCCAGTACTACCGCCAGTTGAAATTTATAAAATCTTTCTTTGAAAACAATTTTTCAGGAAAATAGCTGTTATTGCTCTTTCCAGTATTGACAAGAGTTTTCTCCCTAATCTTTTATTTGAAGTAGTGTGGAACGTCATTGCAATTAGCAACTTTAGTTACTTCTGTTGCATTCACTTCACGCTAATGCCCCCAGAAAAGCCATAAATCCATTTCTACTCCCTGCTGTTCTATTTTAAATCAGTGGTTCTTTTACCCATGGAGCATTTATTTTGTTTTTGGTGGACCCCCATAACCAGTTTATGAAGACAAAGCTTATTTTATCTTTTACTAGCAGTAGAGCCCGGCGTTGCCCGGGGATGTAACAGTAAGAGATAGATCAAGTATCCACCATCATAAAGAATGAAAAATAAAATTGACAAAGATTATTGTTTAAGGTTGACGGACACGCATGTCTTAATTAGTTTTTTTTTACGAATTGGTCAAACTCAAACAAAAACATTGTTTTCAGTCGTTATGAGTCTACCAATTGAATAGAATTTTATTATAAACACTTGTCTTGTAAATGGAATTTTTAAAGCATTCTGAATGTAAAAATAAAGAAAAAAGTGTGCAAGACAATAAGAAACACTACCTGCCAAAAAAAAAAGTGAAGTTGTTGAAATCGGTTGAAAAATGTAGGAAATCCGATCCCA